ATATATAATATAGCCTATATATATATATATATATATATATATATATATACTGTATATATTGTTAGTATCATTGTAATAATATCATAGCATCATTAAAAAAACAATTTGTTTTGGTTTGTACAGTGACTGACAATCTTGAACATCTTATTGTAATTTTATGGATTATAGGTGTAATAAATATATAAGATAGATGTAATTTTCCATGTGACTGATCTTTTTGCTGTTAAATTTAGTTAAAATTAAAATTTAAAAAGAGTGTTTGCTTGTCCAAATATGTCAAAATGACCAGCTATTTCCATGGGATGTGTATATATAGCCTATATAGGCTATGTATTACAATGAACAATTAATATTAAAAAACAATCGCAAAGTAATCATGATGAATAGAGAATGCAAAGCACTTGGCTTGTCTAATAACCATGTTTCTTGATGTAAATAAACCTGGGGACAGTTGCATAAACTGCTTAGACTAGTCTTAAAAAGTTAGTCATTTAATTTTTTTCTTCAAGAATGGTCATAACTTTTTTAATTCAATTACAACAAAAAGGTAGATTGGTCTAATTTGAATCTCGGAAGTATGACCAACTACCCCTTGTCTACTGCTAGTTCTTAAGACCCAGTCTTAAAATAGTGGCTATGTTTTAGGGGCAACTGGCCCCTGTTTTGCACAGTTCAATCGGTGCATCTGTTTCTACACAGCACGACACCAGACTGTCATCGGAGTGCACTCATATAACGTGCACGCGCTATGCACTTACACTGTTTGCATACCCAACTCGCCTGTGTGATCGAGTTAAAGCTAAACAGTGACAACATCGCCTACTACTGTCACAGAATACGATGGTCACAGAATTAGATGTAACACTTGTCAAGAGGGCAGCGCGCATTGTAAGCATGAGATTTTTGTGTACAATATTTCAACCAGTACTGAAATTGCAATAAATATCAAAATAAAAGAAATAAATATCAAAATTTAATTTCAGTGAACGAGTCTATAGAAAATTCGAAACGAGTCGTCAGTCAAAATGAACATTTATTACAAGACAACATTTTCAAAAATTAAGGAGACATGCAAAACGTGCAGTGTTGGGGTGCCTCCATGCCAGGGATGGGAACCACTGCCTTAAGGTAAAGTCCTGTGAACTTTCTGCACTGCTGACATCAAGCAGAATATGAAGTTATACTGTAACTGGTCTATTACAAGACCAGTAATCATGCATTCAGTCAGCCCTTGTCCTGTTTCAGAACAAAACAGCACACGTTTTAAACATATTTATTAAGGTATTCTGTCTGATAAAGCTTAACTCACGTTTTAAAGCAGTGGTAGGTAGCGTAATCTATCGGTTTTTCCCTTGAGCCAAGTTTTATCGATTTTCATTTATTTATTTTTAAATCATACCTGGTATGCCTGAACCATGTTGGCGTTCACGTTAACAACTCGGTTATGCTATGAAAATAATATTTTAATTCAGCAACATTGTTTAGCCTATGTCTAAAGTCCTTTGTAAATGACTAACGTAGACCAGCTACCCGAAGATATTTCCAAGAATATATTCGTAGTCATATTTTGATGTCATTCAGTTTTCAGAACACATGGACATCAATCTGTTTAATTATTTGCAGCCTTTCAAACACTGCTATAATGTCGCAAACTAATTGCTACTTTGCTGGTATTATTCTACAGGTGCATCTCAATAAATTAGAATGTCGTGGAAAAGTTCATTTATTTCAGTAATTCAACTCAAATTGTGAAACTCGTGTATTAAATAAATGATGCACCTGTAATATGTTCTAAAGGGCACCTCTGTAACTCCAGGTTTATGCCACCAGATGGCGCTATTAATCAGTAGATTTTTTTTTTTTTTTGCAGTCTATGGTAGACGCCACCAAAATAAGCACCCCAAACGCACTGTATAGGTGATCCTATGCAACGTGGCTCACCATTCTACCCTAAATTTCTCAAGCTCGTTGGTCTAGGGCAGGGGTAGGCAAGTTCGATCCTAGAGAGCCGCAGTCCTGCAGAGTTCAGCTCCAACCCTGAAAAAATAAAACTCACCTGCCTATAGCCTTAGAAATCCTGAAGACATTGATTAGCTTGTTCAGGTGTGTTTGATTAGGGTTGGAGCTGAACTCTGCAGGACTGCGGCTCTCTAGGATCGAACTTGCCTACCCCTGGTCTAGGGGTATGGTTCTCGCTTAGGGTGGGAGAGGTTCTGGGTTCAAATCCCGAACGAGCCCGCTTTTGCATAATAATCTATCTAATCTTATCTAACTAGCCTATCTATCATCTATCTATCTACCCTTAAACTGATAAGCTTCAACCTTTTAAAGAATATATTTATTATTAATACAATACTTGCACTTTTGAATAAAAAAAACCCACTGGATGCAATCTTTAAACTAGTTGTAGACTGGACAATCTCATTGCATAATCGCATAATCTAATAATCTAAACATTCTGAACACTAAACCAATATAGTGAAATAAAGACAACCCGACATTTTTAATTTAATACTGTAATATATACTCTTTATAAAAAGACATTTGTGACAAAAATTAAAACACAATATAAGCTAAAAATATTTCACACTGGTACAAGTCGAGAGGGAATATGCATAATTTGCACTTTATGCACAACATCATTCTGTTTTGGAGCGCACCACATTTATATAGTCATAGATGGTGTTTTAATACAGTGTTAGATCTACTACCTCTCCTTAGGCTCCACATACTTAGAAGAGCGTGACTATTTCCATGTTTCTAATAGACAAAGCTGCATATGAGCCAAACACACATGTGAAATAATCTCCAGTCACCTGTGTTAAAAAATAAAAATAAAAACTACCAAAACGGCATAATCAAGGCTGGGGAAGTTGATTTCACATGCATGTTTGGCATTTCATCATTGTGAGCCACACAACAGCACAAGTCTGATGAAAAGAAGCATCATCCAAATACTTCGAGCTCTAGTTGGACGGAACTAATCAACGTTCACACTTACGTATTCCAGTTAGAACATTCTTCGTTTTCAGGCATCCTTGTCTAACTCATGCAGACTAGAATGGTGACTAAATTACTAAATCTAACATGTGATGAAAAGCCAACCGCAATCCCTGACACTGAATGAGTAAAGCTTGTACTTTTCGTAACAATTTACAAAATCGATTTACGTATGAAGCGGCAAGGAAGCGATAACATAAGATAAGGCAGATCAAAGTCGTAGCTAACATCTGAGATGAAAACACGTTCTTAAAGCGTTCACGTAAGTTAAACAGCATGAATCGTATGTAAAAAAAATAAAAAAGGTGCTTGTGTGGTATCAAAGTGTTTGACAATCGCAGTGTGCATCGTACACACTCTCGTCCTAGGCGCGTGTGGTTCTAGCTCAGCAGCATAACAGTCAGCCGTCAGAGTTAGCACACAAAACCATAGCTTAGTCTTGCTGGGCCAGTGTTGGAAGGGTAACAAGGCGGACGTCAGGGACAGACAGGAGACTGCTGAAGTAGTGTCACAGGTAACCGTACACAAGCCTTTTGCCGCTAACCTCCTTTTGCAAAACTGGCACGGGAGATAATCTCCTCACCACATTATGTCACGCAGCCCCGGAGACTTACAGACGCCTGTGAGACGTGACTTCGCAAAGTTCTCTATGGAAGGCCAAAATTGCCAAAAACACGTGAATTTTTACACATCAACGACATGTTAAATATGCATATTTAATCTTCCATAGTCCTCAAGCATGTACGTGAACGTCCCCGCAGATGCTCAGTCCGGGCCTGGCCTATCACTTTTAGGGGTTTAACATGGCTCAAGAACAGCACAGTGATTTGAAAAGGCAGTTACTATACTAATAGCTAAGGGCTATACTAATAGCTAGGTACGTTCGCAAAGTAACACGACCTGGAGTCAGTGTAGGAAACGAATAACAACCCTCTTGAATTGTGCTCAGGGTGGGATACACCATACCAGAGAGGCCTGGGTCAAGTTTCAGTGGCCTTTTAAGGCCCGAGTCAAGTTTTTGATGGTTCCAAATATAAACTATGCACAATCAATATGGCATTTCAGCGCCGGGAGCGAAATACGTGCCTCATGACAGGAAAAAATAGCAAATTCAGTGGACTCAAACAAGCCATTGTCTTCCTAAACAGAACAAGTGATCTGGATTAAAATGATATGGATAATTCTCAAAAGATCATGGTTAATTATTAACCCTTGTGCCCTAAACTCTGATTTCTACGTTCTGCTAATTCAAATTTAAAGGGACAATTTACTCAAAAAATAAAAAATTCTTATCTGTATGACTCTGTAGTCATACAGTAATCAGCAGTGTCCAAATGCTGTTTTGGACCCCATTGACTTTCACTGTAAGGACAAAAACATTCTTCAAAATATCTTATTTTGTGTCCCACTGAAAAACGGAAGTCATACACGTTTGGAACGATGATCAGGATGACCATTTTGACAAATGATGACAAATTAAATTTTTTGGGCAAACTGTCCCTTTAAACTATGGTGCGACTCTGTGGCATAATGTAATTTATGGCAGAAATACTTGTCTGACAGTTTGGAAACAAACTTAATATTGAATATGGTGATTGAAATCCACTTATAAAGCAAGTTCATTGAGAAAAATGGAGTTTCATTATAAGCAGGTGACTGTCGACACACTTTTTGTTTTTCAAAGCACATTTTCTGTAGTAATCAACAGTGTGCGACAGATGAAGCTCGTCGATGGAGCTTAAGTTATATTTAACCCAGAACATTCCTTTAAGGCAAAGCTTGATTAGAACTCCAAACGTAACTAATTCTTATGCTGGTAAAGCACAGCAATCAAGTATAATTTATTGAAGTGCAAGTCTGCTACCCCTTGCGGCTAGTCCTTCCTCACTGACATGGAGATAGCCATGTATGAAAGACCGGGTTACATTATTTAGCTGAGGATGTGTCACCTCACACGGTCATTACTGTCATCGGCGCTGCACTAATCCCATCATTACACAGGGAATCCCCAGGAAGAGTTTAGAAGAGGACAAAAAACGAAACAGTGAACTGTAGGAGGAAGGCAAATGGGTAACAGTTGTTGCGGTAAGCTCAGGATGAAGCGGATCACCTGCTTTCAGCTTGAGAGTGCAAAATGTTCAGGTAGGAAATAACAATACATATCAATCGTCATCAAGTAACTTTTAGCAAAGCAAGTCCTCGCAGACACACCACGTGAAATGACCGTCCCGATTCATTCAGTTTATGGGGGGGGGGGG